CCGCGCCCGACTGCCGGGGGTGGGGGGTGCCGGGGAGCCGATGAGCGCGGGGAAGGACGACCAAGCAGCTGGCTGTGGTGCTAGGCAACTGAGCAGTTTCCGACGACAACAACAACACAAAAAAGCAGTGCACATTATTCCACCAGCCCATGAGCAAATGCCTCATTAATTGCTGCCCGCAGTGGAAGTCCAGCCGTAGGAAGCTGGGAGGAGTTAGTGCAACACTCACCCGAATCCGTAAAACTGAAGAATGCCAGAGAGCTAAAGGAACCCTTGCTGAGCGTGACTGTTCCAGGCCAGATGCTGGTGACCCTAGCTTCCACTTAAAGTTAAAAACATATTTTGCAGCTGCTCAGAAAGTCACCAATGAGACAACAGGGACTCAAATAGTAAGACAGATGGGCCTCCCCGGCCTGAGCAGCCGGAGAAAGGTATCGATGAAAAGGGTGCATAAGCCTAGGGTCAGGCTTGAGAAAATTATGTTGCCACTGCAGCTAATAAGAGGACAGCCCTTACATGGCCAATGCCCGGAAAGGGCCGCTGACCACACATCTATTTTCTGCGCCCCGTGGATACAAAGACCATATCTGAAATCTCTGACTAAACCTGCAGCTTAGAGCGGCCGAAAGGGCAGTGGACTGGACAGCAGAAAACCGGGTTTTAGATCAAATTTAGTAATCTCTCTCTGGGTCTCATCTCAACTCTGAAACAGATAACCATCTCATGCAAGAACCCAGGACAACTAGAAAGAATCTAGCTCTGAGGTCAACAAACTGGCCAGCTGACAAAATACATTCAGCCTGCCACCTGTTTTTCTAAAGCCGGTAAGCCAAGAATGGTTTTCCATTTTTAAATTGTTGGAAAACGTCAAAAGAATAACATGTCACTACATGTGAAAATTGTATGAAATTCAAGTTCAGTATCCAGAGAGGAAATTTTATTGAAACTCAGTCATGCTCATTTGTGTCATCCACAATGGTAGTGCTGACTAGCTGGAACAGAGATGGTATGGCCTGCAAAGCCCAAAATGTTCATTACCTGGCCATTCACAGGAAGTGTGCCAATCCCTGCTTCAGCTGATTACCTTACAGTGAGCTCCTTGAACCCCTAGGAATCCATATGTGTAGTAATAGGGTTCTTGACTACAATTTTCAATATTTAACAAAAACCTAATAAGTGTATTTACTCACTATGAGGCATCAAAGGCTACTTAAAATATTCTCTTTCTTTGGATTTTGGCACTACTTATATCACATAGTTGAGGTGATCATGGTTTTCTCATGAGAAAATAGTTATTAAACGAGACCAAAGTATACATAGAAGACTAATTATTCTAAAACATGGAATGAACACAAGAGGAGGTATGTTTGCTTTTGACTTCTTGTATCCCCAATACATACTAAATGTCCCGATATATAATAGAGGCACTTAGATATTGTAAAATAAATGAATTGGGTTCATATGTGGGCAAAGAACTAAAGGGTTCTTGGTGGTGAAAATTTTGGAAACCACTGATATATTAGTTTGCTCCTGCGAAGTACCACAAACTAAGTGCCTAAAACAATAGAAGTTAATCATCTCCTAATTATGGAGATTAAAGTGTAGGTAGGGTTAGTTCCTTCTGAGAGCCATGAGATAAGGACCTGTTCTATGCCTCTTCTCTAGCTTCTGATAGTTTGTGGACTACCTTTTACATTCCCCAGCTTGTAGAAGCATTACCTCAATCTCTGCATTTCTCTTCACATTGTGCTTTCCCTGCATCTGTGTCTGTGTTCAGATTTCGTCTTTTAATGAGGACATTAGCCATATTACATGAGGGACACACCCTACTCCTGTATGACCTTACCTAATTACATCTACAATGACACTATTTCCAAGAAAAGTCACACTCCGAGGTACCACAGGTTAGGGCATCAACATAGGAAATGGGGGAAGGGGTAGATAAGCAGGTAGCATGTTGGTTAAGGTGTGGGACTCGCATTTGGCTGACCATGGTTTTAGTACCAGACCCAGGGGCTTGAAACTCATGCTGGGCATGTGTGCATGAGTGCCCAAAATCCCAAGAGGAGAATGGTTGAGAATAGATTGTGGCATGACCATCCCCCCTGGCGGAGTGGGTGATTTCTTGTTTTCTGTCTCTCTAGCGAGCGCACACACCCTATAGCAAAATATACCTAAAAAAAGAAAAGAAAAGAAAGAATGGGGGTGGGGAGGGCACAATTCAATTCCTGGCAGTAGTCTAAACTCCTGATACAGATAAGAAAACTGTGGCCCAGAGATCTATCTACTGGGGTGGCTAGTAATAATTTGTTTCTTTTTTTTTTCCTTTCTTTTCTTTTCTTTTCTTTTCTTTTCTTTTCTTTTATTTTCTTTTCTTTTCTTTTTTCTTTTTTTTTTTTTTGAGAGGTTTTTGCCATAGGGTGCTTGCACTTGCCAGACATACAAAGAGAGACAGAGAGACAGAAAGCGAGAAATCACCCCCCAGGGGGTGATGGCCATGCCGCAATCCCTTCCCCTCCATTCTCCTCTCGGGATCTTGGACACTCACACACATGCACCTTTAAGCCACCGAGTTCGGGACACGAACAGCAGTCGACCATGTGGGAGTCCAGCAACATAGCCATTACGCTAACTGCTGGTCCCATAATTTGTTTCTTTTCTATCATGACTCTTGATTCCCAAGCTGACACTATACACTCTCATATTAGTGGCCTGAATGACAATTGTCTGGTGATTTTTTAAAAATTCATAAATAAGATTAGACATGGGACAAAATGCCATTTAATTTATGTATCAGTATTTTTTTATAAACTAAAGCTCTCACACCTTTTTTTCTTACTGGCTTACACATCTACTAACATTTATTCTGAGCTCTACGAAGAAGATGGAGAACTTTTCAAAGCACAGAGCTGTTAGAGAAGGAATGAATCTAGCCAATACTCTGCTCCTTCAACAAAGCCCTGAAACCTCCTACCTGCAGCAGCTGCTAAAGAATTAGAGGCAAGTGGAGCCAAATAGAGCTGTTGCTATGGGAATGAAGTGGCATGTCATGGGGCGTGGCCACTAGAGTGGACTCTATAATAGTGCCTTGGCTATTGCCCTAAAAATCTAAAAATTATTCTCAAACCGTAATATCTCCTGTCTGGAACTTTCGTTTTAGTTGAAAAAAAGTGAGAGATAAAGATGGGCAGTGACTTGCTTCACACTCCTTGGGTCAAGGATTTTATAGTTCTCAAACTAGCATTTTTCCACCATACTATTGTAAACTTTTGTACATTAACCCAGTGACATGGAAATATACACCCAAAACTCAAGTTGTGCAACACTTCCCAATTTGTTTTACTGACCCACAAAGCCGTTAGTCCCCGAAATTGTCTTTTGAGTGGTTGGCTGTGGGATTGCATGGAACAGTCATACTTAAAAAACCAACTGTTGAGCCAACAGGTGGCATGGAGTTTAAGGCACTGATTCCCACATGGCCAACTGCACCAGGTGCATGTGTGTGGGTGCCCAAAATCCCAAGAAGAAAATGGAAGCAAAGGGATTACAGTGTGGCCATCCCCCATAGGGGGCGATTTCTCACTTTCCTTCTCTCTGGTGAGCACACGCACCCTATAGCAAAAAAAAAAAAAGAAAAAAGAAAAAAAAAAAGCACCAACTGATATTTTCTGAACCCCATCCCTGCATAGCATAGTGTTTTAAAACTAAGACATAAGGAAAATAGAAATAAACTCCACTATATAATCAATTAAACTTATCCTTGGAGGGGGGCTCTCACTTCTTTATAATTTGGGCATGAGCCTTTTTCTAAAAATACAGCTGCTGTCTGGTGAAAACAATAAAATATGCTCCCTTACAGTGCCTCTCTCCCCCTGGCTCTCAGGCCATTGCTCTGGAATGTACACCAGGCTACCTTTTCCAGTACTATCTGCTGGATAGCTAAAGTAGGATCTTAGAGCTAGTGAGGACAGTTGTTACTGGAATCATGCATGCTCAGGGTCCACTGTTCCAGAGCATTCCATATAACATGACCCACCTGTAGTGCACTAGAGCCCATGAACCTTCTAGCAGAGAGAAAGTGGGCCAGTAGACAGTTGCAAAACAGGTCACGCTGCCTACCCAGTGTGGTGTGGTGTCAGCCTTGTATCCTGAGTCCACTAACTCTCTAAGAGCAGCCTTTAGCTGCCAACCCCAAGGTGAATGATCTGGCCCCAGTGTTTTCCAGACAGGCCTGCCACCACAAGCTATACTACTCAAAGATGGACTGGACAGGATACCCTAAGAATTGGTGCTACAAAGGCCAGGCTCGGAGGAGGAGCTCAAGGCCAAGACCAGATGGCAGAATTAAAGAGCAAGTATCAACCCTGTGAGAGTGAGGCCAGGGTTCCCCAGACCAATAGCCTGGAGGTTCAGAAAACTCTCACAATGGAGCTGGCAGGTCATGCACTGGAAACCTCAGAGTTGGGTTTCCACACAGTCTTTCCAAGGTCCAAGTGGGCAGGTAGGGCCTGTGGGTGAGGCACTCTTCCAGCTTGGTGAACTATTATTGGTCTGGAACACTGGTCTTGCCCGTGGGCTGTAGGCAGGCAGGGCCTGTCAACCCTGCCCATTTACAGCCCAATTGGGAGGGGTTGGGCCTAGAGCAGACTGCAGGCTGAGTGCCCTGCCAGAGCATAGAGCACTCAGTGTTTATTGTAAACATACTCCCTCTCTCCAGTGAGCACACACACTTTATGGGAAAAAAAACTAAAGAAAAAAAAAGAATATTATTAGGGCTATCTCTCAGGCTCCCATCTCCCTCCCACCCTTCCCCATCTTCTTTCTGTTCCTCTACTATGAGAAATT